GATGATATGCTATGCAAATACCATTGCAAGAATTTGCTAAATCTGCAACGAACGAATTCCGTCACAGATAGGACGATTTTGTGGCAGATTCCTCGTCTGCGAAAGACTTGCGACAAGATCCGTTCGTCGCAAAATATGTGTCGCTAATTCTATCATAATATACGGCGGAAATCTGCGCTAGCCGCATATCTGCAATGGACATTGCGACAAGCTAAATATTGATAAAAATCTGATAAAAATCTACGACAGAATCAAAATCCATTGTAGATCTGTTGCAGATTTGACAAAAACAGCTACAATATTCCACTAAATTTGCTCACTTCTCAATAAAAACAGCATCAATCACTGATTTAACTTACACAATCACTTAAGATATTTATAGAGTATCATATCATCATTACACAATCATATTTGTAAATATTTTTATTAAGAATACATCTCAACAAGTAATTACAGGATTGTATAAATATAATAAAGATGCTTGACATACATAATACAACTTCTTACTCTATAACAGTATACTAATTTAGAGGTTTTATTAGAGACTATAATGATTTTGGTAAGTATCTTGTGCTTCCATTGTTCCTGAGATGAAATAAGAAGGCAATTTTCTCCTATATTACTTAGGGTGGGCAATAATCCCGAAACTGTTGTTCCGACCCTATATCTCAGTTCCATCCCTATAATGTTCCATTTTATAAGGGATGATAAAATTTTGTCTCAAACCCATTTCGAACCGTTTTAAAATGAGACGAGACTGGAACAAATAAATATTTTCTCATTGTCCCTCATATATGTTTGTATTTATTTATTTATTTAATGATATAACATATAAAAAAGTATCACAATTTTTGTTTTTCCTAAAATAGATATAAAAATATCCATATTTGAATATTTTTAAAAATAGACTAGGACCGGAACACCTAAAAATACCGACCGTTCTAACATGATCCACCCTAATTTGTGGCTCATAGCTTTTTATGAAGCTTATATTCTTGACTTTTGATGTATGTTGTAACATTTTTCATGTTTCCTTATTCTTTTGGCTTTTTAAAAAAATTTCTAAATAAATATATCATTGTTTTCATTACTTTCCAAGTCAAACTAAGTTGCGTTCCCCTTATATATTTTATATTTTTATATCTAATTTCAGATAATGACAAAATAGGACCATTCTGCTTTTTCACGATCTAGAATATTGAGGGACAAAGAGATGTAAGCTTGTGCCCCGAACTGTTCTGAGCTATTTGAAATAACAAGACAAAATGCGGGACGGTATAAAACCCGAACTGTCCTCTTCACTATTTTCTGAGTCTTGAAGTTTAACAGACAGTAAAGGGGTTAATCCTTTCACAAGAGAAGTATGCTCGCGAGTTACCCCATTAGGTGGGGGTGGAGGACAATAAACCATGTCCAACGGCTATGCCGGTTCGGCCGAACTGGGAAAACCCTTTGATAATCTTATTTTTCTCAGAAGTCTGATTGGCGCCTTATCAATACAAGACATGATATTTAGTTTTCTGTGAATCATATTTGTTAGCGCATGTATGCACCCACTAAACAAGATTTTCAATCTCTCAAGTGAATCTTACGTTATGTCATTCAGACTGAGCAAATGAATGGATGTTCTATCAGAGGTTATCAAACTTATCTTGGTCATAATCTCATCTTTTGGAGTATAGAAAAACAAATTCGAGTGTTCAAATCCTCGACAGATGTGGAATATTGCGCATTGTCCTCTGCCGCGTCTGAAGTCGTGTGGCTAACATATTTTTTTAAGTTCTCAAGATTTGGCTGCCTCTTCCACACATGTTCTTTGACAGTCAATTAGCTATTTGTTTGACCAAGAATCGTGTGTTCCATAAGCTTCTGAAGCATGTTGGCACGGATTGTCACTTTGTTCGGGAACAAGTCACTGTTGAAACTATGAAGGTCTCTAATGTCCCTTTTGTTGATCAGCTTGCCGATCTTCTCACGAAGGCGCTACCATCTCCACGCTACACCACTCTCGTCTCCAAGCTTCCTCTCGTTTTATGGCGTTCAACTTGAGAGAATGTTAAGAAACAATAATAATAATAATAATTATTATTATTATTTTTATGGTAGTGTTAACATATTAGTTAACTTCTATTTCTATATTAAATCCCACGTATATTGGGATTACCTCTTATATATACTCTTTTCATCTTTTGTACTGAGCATGAAATAACCATATTTGACAAAGACTATATTATTTTTCAAGCATACATAAAAATTAAAGTTAAATTCACTTTCCTTTATTACCATTCTTTTATTCATATGAAAATTGTTAGGAAACAATAATAATAGTAATGTTAATGATATTTATGGTAGTGTTTACATTTTAGTTAACTTCTATTTCTATATGGAATCTCACATGTCTTGGGATTACCTCCCATGTATACTCTCTTGTATTGATCCTTATTATTTGAGTAATATAAGGTTCTCTAAAACCTAGACTCTTCTTTAGGATCGAGCACATCGTCGGTCTCTATTTAAGGTGGTCGATCGTCTGACAGCTGTATGGCGTCACCAACCGGTCTCGACGAGCGTGCCTAATAGCCGACATCTATTATCCCTCTCTTTCTTGCCAAAAAACTATTATCTTTCTCTCTTCCAAGAAAATTATATGCGTGATCGAAGAATAGAAAGATTGCATTTGTCTCTGATTTTTCTAGAGATCGAGAGTATGGAAAGTGATAGAGAAACAGAGAATGACCCACAAGAAGAGAAAAAGAAACTCCATATCCTTGCTCCAATCGTCAACATTCTCTCAATGGAAAAAAACTTAGCAAACATAATTTCAAGCTCGGTCATCGTGCAACGAATATGTGACTCTCTACTTCTAGAGGTTTTCCTCACAAAATTGCTTCTGCTAGTTCAATTCCAGTACATGTGCTCCAAGCTGCTCCTCGTTACTGATGATCAGCTTGCTTGGAGATATTAAGAATATTAAATAATAGGAAATAGATGTTATATTTAATTAATTTTCTTATCATATTGTTTTCCTAGTTGTATTGTTACAGTAGTTGTTCTGCTACTTTGATTAAAATTTTCTCTTTTAATCCCTATAAATAGGGATGTATCCTTGATTATTCAATAAGATTATAGCTTCTCTCGGGTTTTCTTGTTGACTAGGGCTTCCAGCGCAATGTTCATGACACCAGCTCTTTTGTTATACATACTTCACAAGGCATTCTTATACTTCTGTTATATGTCGATGACATTATTGTCACATGTAGCTCATCCACTCTCATCCAAACCTTCATTGCAGCCCTTAAACTTCAATTTTAGATGAAAGACCTTGGTCCTCTTTACTATTTTTGGGTCTTGAAGTTCAACAGACAGCAAAGGGGTTTATCTTTTCACAAGAGAAGTATGCTCGCAAGTTATCCCATCAGGTGGCGGTGGAGGACTATAAACCATGTCCTGCGCCTATGTCGATTCGGCCGAATGAGGATGGTGCAGGAAAACCCTTTAATAATCCTAACTTTTTCAAAAGTGTGATTGGTGCCTTACAATATCTCATCAATACAAGACATGATATTCAGTTTTCTCTGAATCATGTTTGTCAGTGTATATATGCACCCACTGAACAAGATTTTCAATCTTTCAAGCGAATCTTACGCTATGTCATTCGAGCTGGGCAAAATGGCAAATGACATGACAGATGGACGCTTTCTCACAGGTTATCTAATTTATCTTGGTCATAATCTCATCTCTTTGAGTATAGAAAAACAAAGTCGCGTGTCCAAATCCTTGACGGAGGCGGAATATTGCACATTGTCCTCTGTTGCGCCCGAAGTCGTGTGACTAACATATCTTTATAAAGTTCTCAAGATTCGGCTGCCTCATCCACACCTGTTCTGTGACCAAGAATCATGTGTTCCATAAGCGTATGAAGCATGTTGGCACGCACTGATTGTCACTTTGTACTGGAACAAGTCACTGCTGAAACTATGACGATGTCTTATGTTCCTTCTGCTGACCTGTTTGTCGATCTTCTCACGAAGACACTACCATTTTCATACTACACCACTGACCACTCTCGTCTCCAAACTTCCTCTCATTCCACGACGTCCAACTTGAGGGGATGTTAGAAAACAATAATAATAGTAATACTAATTATATTTGTAGTAGTGTTTACATATTGGTTAACTTCTATTTCTATATGGAATAGATCCTATGTATACTCTCTTGTATTGATCCTTATTCTTTGAATAAAACAATTATTTATTATTCAACAGAAATAATATAGTTTTCCACCCAAAAAAATTGAATAATATTGGAAAGTCAATACTCATCCATGCCACAATAAAAGTCTCTTTTGTCTTGTTTTAGTTAAGCTATACTCCGTATTACTTTTTGATAACAAATGGTGGAAAAACATTATATTTGTTTATAATCAAAGTTATATAAAATTGAGTTCATGTTAAGATTTCTTTTGATATGTCAAATTTTTATACTTCTTTTGTCTCATAATTATTCTCACTTTACGTAAAACAAAACAAAATTTTAAATTTTTGTGCAATTCATTTTATTTAAAAAATGATATATAAAAATATAAAACTCACATACTTAAAACTCCATCAAAAAAATTTCAAAACAACAAATTTATAAAAATATTAAATTTGTATCAAATAATAATCCATAAAAATGTACAAATAAACAAAAGTTTAAGTGATCTTAGAATAGTAAAGAAAGAAAATAATTCCATGACAGAGGGTAATATTTATTTATTTAAACTATATTAAATTTTTAATCAAAGAGTATCACGATTTAACCAAAAAATTCAAAAGAGACCTTAACTCTGGAACATAGGGAGTAGAATTTATCACTTTTATTCATCTCCCTATCAATCAAATGAAGCCACTTATTCTAGGAGGGGAGCAGTATAAAATTGCTATCATTTTAAGCTTGTTTAATGAATAAAAACTCATGGAATTAACAAACTTTGCAAATAAGAACTATGGTGATATGGCAAAGAGATCATTGATTGATTGATCACAAAATGTTTAAAAAGAATATAACAAGCATCAACAGCTTAAGCAGGCTAACTTGAGATCATGTGGGCTTTCATCATCGTTGATAAGATCACTAGATACAGCACTAGGTATTCTACGGTGTTTTAGTATACGACAAGTCGCTATTTTTGCCAATTTGTAATCCAAAACAATCACCGTGTTCTCAAGGTCAAACCTCACACTCTCTTTGCTATTGTCCTCCACGAGTTGCCTCAAGTGTTTCATGTTCTCCACTTCAACCCCGTTTACCTTTTTCACCTGCATAGTTAGCTCGATTTACAATCACTATAGAACAAGCCAAGCTGCATATGGGATGACGATCAAGTGCAAAAGTTTTGTCTATGTTGGCCTTATGGGGGTGATATAGATGGAGATTTTGAAGGACTTGGTCTGTATTATGATATACAATTGAGAGTTTCTGGATGTGTGTTGTCCATGTCAATAGAGCTAAAGTAATCATTACTGATAGTGTTTTGGCTTTTGATAAATAATGGATTAAATCAAAATGACACATCAATGCCCCATATTGGATCCTTTCTCGTTCTCGCGTGTGTGTGTGTGTGTGTCTAAGAGAGAGAGCACGTGTGATCAAAGAGCTATAAGGCACTTGCGCGTGCAATACCATACATGTAAGACATATGAACTCAAAATAAATATCAATGACGTTGTATTACCTGTAATTCTGCAAGACCCTCATACCCAATATTTATATCATCCATCAGCACCTACATTAAGTAAAATAGACTATATTGACAAGAGAATAGCATGTTTGGAATAATTTCTATGGTAACTTCATTTTTCATTAATATTTACACCAATCTTTTGCTTTAACTTATGGTTAAAGTGCTTTGACTAGTGTTAAAAGCACTTTTTTCATTCCCAGAACATATCTTTTAAAGTGAGTGGGGGAGAAAAATCTTGTGTTATGCATCTGATGTGTCACTCTTCATTACTTGATAAAGATTTTCCTTCCACATTTCTCCTCACCTACTTTGGGTTCTATGGGGCATAGTTTTGATATGTCATGGGTACCTTAAATTTGTAAGTGAATATACTTTGAATAAAGTGAGAGCTAAAAATAAGAATACCCGGGAAAGAATAACAAGCTGTTGTCCAGGTCTTTTGGGAAGTTTCCTAAGCGCTTTTTCACATAGTCGCCTAGGCGAAGAATTGTACCAGTCATCCCCATATTCATGAAGATATGGTTGTGTCAAAGGAGTGAAGACCAGACCAGCAAAAATGTAATAACTGGGAAGCTTATCAAACTGATGAACTGGAACGAGAGGTTTCAACTGCAAAAAAACAATCAAACATCAATACATCACACAACAACAACAACAACAACCCA